CCAAATATTGATGTGAACTTTATCTGTATTATAGTAATAGATAAATATATTTATAATTTTTTCTAGTTGCTTGGTGTTTATGGAAACAATTTTAAAAGAGCAGTGATAGAGAGTTGGTAAGTAACAAAAGTAAAACCTGGAGAGATTAAACCTTTCATCTTTAAAAATTAGAACAACACTGTCATTTATTTAATTTTTTTCCTCACTCTCCTGCATTGTGTTTGGCCTTTAGTTTTATTTTTACAACTTATATACCATTACTATCATTTTTAAAAATTGAAATAACTGTTATTCTTCTCTTTTTTTCTTCTTGTACACAGTACTTAAATTAACTGTTTTCAGTGTCCATGGTTTACTTTAGAAATTTTATCACTTTTGACATGATTTAAAAGAAATGTCATTGTTTCCTCTACAATAATAATTGATTAAGATTAATAACGTTACATTATACAATGATACAATTTTTAGAGATATGTGCATTAGTAGGCCTATTAGTATATGCTAACTCTAACTGTTTAGTTTTAAATTAACTTTGTTTATCTTGCCATTCTGGTCTAATTTGTTGAATTCAGTAGAGATGAGTTTTTGTTTTATTATATCTTTTAATTTTCATGTATACGACTACATTAAAATGAAGTAAATTTACCTCTGAAATACTGAAAGCTTTTTCTTGTTGTATTTGAACTCATGTCATTAAGAAAACATTGTAAAAGCTTAAATTACCTATATCAGCCATCTCTTTTATATACATATATTTCTGTAACTTCCTTGGAGGCCCTACTTACACAATTTGCCTGGAGCATGCATAATGAAACTAATTGTTCAATCTACTTGTGCCATTGTATTTTGATATTCCTGATGGGTATAACAATTGTGTGGATACTTGATTTGTGTATCACTTGCCATTTTCTTTTGTTTTGATGAAGTTTGATTTCTTTGTTCTGGCCTAAATGTTGTTAAAACCTGCAAGAGTTTGATTTCTATGCTCAAATTCTGACAACACTTCTGCTAGACTCATTTCTCTTTCTCTTAGGTATGTTGTATATTTTCAATACTTAAGCTGTTTCTGTTACAGTGGAGGGTACTTGTGTGATGTTAGATGATTTCAGTACTTTAATCTTTTATTTCTCCCACAGTCTCAACTTTTTGAACCTTAGCTTTTTCTTGAGACATAATTTTTTGGCCACATTATCAGAGAATTTTCTGATTATTTTAATCATGATCACATATCTACTTTTATGTCTTAATTACCTATGTTTCACTCTTTCTGATACAGTTTCTATTACCATGTGTCTCTTATGTTTCACTGACATTTTCACCTGCTGGGCTGTGTTGCAAAGTGCTTGTGTTTTAACCAGCAAACCTTCATGTATATATATATAATAATTATATCTGCATATGACAAAACAAATCTGTTTTATTTTTAAGCTTGGATATATTTTACTTTAACTTGTTTCTCATTCAGAGTAACTTGCCACTAGAAGTTGATTAGCATTTTAGTATCTTACTCAGTAGTTGGTCATTGTTCCCTTTTAATGTCCTGTATGTAGTGGTTTTCAATACTCTCTACATCTATTCATATGTTTATTGTGTTGTAAAATTGATAAAAGCAGATTAGACTTTTTGACCTATTCATTGTCTTCATTCTGAATGACTACTCTGTATAGAATTTTTGAAGTCATCTCAGATTCTATTCATCTATTGACCATTCATTTTGTGTTCCTTGAGTTTCTCAAATTTTTCACTTTGGTTTTCTATTCATGATCAAAATTAGTCTTTTCCAGTTTTTATTCAAGTTCTGATAAGGTATGTTACCCTCTCTCACATAAATAACTATTCTCGTTCAGTGCTGCCCTCTATATAAACAAAATTAAACATGCCACAAGCTTTTTATCTCCCCTCAATTGGAATTGACTGATTCCAATACGTCTCTCATGCAAATCATCATGCAACAACCCTTCACCAATGAGAGTGCACATACTCTTGTGATGCATGTGACTCCCTCTATTCATTTCTACCAAACTATCACTTCTTATGTTCAGAAGTTTTTCTTTAGATGATTTTCAGTGTCATTCGCAATCGTGACTTTAATCGTTTAATTTCCAAAGTGGAATTTCTTCATAAAGCCTCTCCTTTATTACCTCCACACTTGATAGATTGTCGTCTTTGGCTCTCGCTTTACACACATGGTTTCTCTGTTGTTGGGATCTTTTGGGTCGAGATGTGGCCTTGTCCCAGGTTCGTTTGCGGCCCATTATCTTCAGGATTTATGTATGGACTCTTTTTTCTTTTTTTGTGGTATGAACCTGAGATTATAGAATTATGTGTGGAGTCTGTGCCTCAATGCTCTATCCTTTCCTCTTTGGTAGCATGTTTGTCGCAGTCGAAGTCACGACAAGTCCCTATTACTTTTTTCCTGTCCTAGTCCATCTCGGCCTTTACCTGTTTTTCATCTCATTATATTATTTGACATAGACGGGCACATCACCAACAGTACCGGTGACTACCCAGTGAGTTCCGGTCTGGTGGGAGCTCAATTGTACAAATTTGTTCCCCTTTAGCAGTCTTTCATCACAGATCCATGGGTTCCTTGGGACTTGTTCTGCAATTTATTCCCCCTCCCTTGTCTCTTGGGTAGGTACCCATTTCTTTCCCCATGCCTTGGGATTCTTCCACCTACTAGCTTCTGTCAGTGGCAGTACAAGACCTTCTATCTCACCATGCCATCGAACCTGTTCGTCATCTTTCCCCAGGATTTTATTGCTCAATCTGCCCCATTTCACCATAGAGTCGTTTCTCACCCTCAGGTGGGATTTTTTCTCCAGGTTTATGAATGACCAAGATGAATGTTGCAACTGCTTATTTGCATATCCCGACATCTTGTCAGTCGTGACCCGGGTGGTTTATCAGTTTTTTGCACTGCCCTTCAGTCTTGCTTCAGCCCTATATGTTTTTTATCGGGTGGTCAGAGCATTCACTCATCACTTATATGCTCTCATGTAGTGCTTTCATCATTATATGAACAACTGGCTACTGTTAGCTCATTCTGAACAAGAGTCACACTCATCAGTTGCTCCTGAAAGCAACTCGAGTGGGCTGGTTAGTCAAGTTGGAGAGGTAATTCGTATGACCTACCCAATATCTTGTTCTTTTGGATGTTATTTTTTCAACACTCATCTCAGTTAGGCCCCAATCTTCTCCTCTTTGACATTGTTTGATAGAGCTTTCAGTTCTTCATGCTCTTACTACTCCCTCTCTTACAGCTTGCGAGGTTCTATCTCTTTGAGGATGTTACCTACCATGGCAGCTCTTATCCCCTTAGGTCAGGCTCATATGTGGGCTCTTCAGGGGCTCTTCACAATCAGTAGAATCTCGCAAGGGATCCTTTGATGGTTCTTATTACCCTTTTACCTACCTTTGTTGACAATCTGCATTGGTGGTCGGACAAGACTCACACATTGGTGAGAGTGCCACTTCCTCGTCTTTGTCCAAATTTTTTTACACATTTTCGTGGAAGTATCCCTTCAGGAATAGGGTGCATGAGTCGATCAGCAGGAAGCTTTGGGGTGTTGGTATGCAGCCAAGAGGTCTTATCATATCAACATCCTGGAGCTTCTTGCTGTCCATCATGCTTTGGTTCATTTTCTCCCTCTGGCCAGAAATCATCTGGTAATGATTCAATATAGAGTTTCGTGGTCACCCATTACACTGTTTCATGTGTTGTCATTCTTCCTGACTCTCCACCACAATCCCCCCACCTTTTTCTTCCAGCAGGGTTTGGGAGTCTTTACTACTTTCCAGTTCCAAGCCACTGGGGGTGATGGACCATGGAGGTATCCTCCTGAATAGGTTAATAAAACACACATGAATTATAGAAATGATTATAAAATCATTCAGTTGAGAGTAGGGCGGTGATTTACTGCTGGTGTAGATGATATGATATCCTCTAATATGACACAGAAATTAATGGGAGTGAGCCATCTAAATTACAATTCACCCATTATATTGGGATCCCTTAACTCTCATTGGTGGAGGGTTGTCACATGATAATTTGCCCAAGAGATCTATTGGAATCAGTCAATTACAATTTAGGGAAGGTATAAGGCTTGTGGCATGCATAAAATGTTTTGGCATATAGGTGGCAGCACTGAACGAGAATAGCTATATCTGTGAGTGTACCTATCGGAAATACAATTTCAATATAGAAAAATTGGATCTAGCAACAACAAGAGAATATCGATGGTGTATTCATATTTCATTGAGGTTTTTACTCTTACTTCTTTGTGTTACCTAAGATAACAGTAGATCTTTCTCTTCTCATTTGTTATCTAAATATTTCTACTTTCTAGATGGAACCTATGATTATCGTATGAAAGTTCCCTTTTTAAATTTTATGGATGAAAAATTTATTAACTTGCCCTGATTCACTCATCTTCATTCTTTACATGATGGAGTGATTTATCAGTTTATGGTTCTCCCTTTTTATCTGGTTTTGTGCACATGTAGTTGAACCATAAGCTGGTTTTCTGTATACACTCAATATCAATAGTCATCATTAAATGAATAATTAGAAGATTAATTGCTTAGTTCTTGTCTTATACTAAAATGATCTCTCATTTAGCTTCTT